TTTGTGTTTTAAGAAGTTTGCCATGATTGCTGTGTTTAGAAAATATTGCAGAGGGTTAAGATGGGAGGTCCAAAGACCAGCGAGGGGTCTGTTGTGGATCTCCTCCACCTTATAATAATGGTCTGAACTTGGGTAGGAACCCTGAGGATGGCGAGAAGTGGGTGGGTCCTAGGCATGATTTGGAGGTGGACTCTGAAGGACTTAGAGGTGGATTGGTTGTGGAGTGTGAGGGTGAGGGAGATGCCATGAATCCTCAAGTGTTTGTCTTGGCCACTGGGAAGATGGTGCCTATTAGCTGAAGTTCACTGGTAGTGCCAGAAAAGACTGAGCATGTGAAACTGAAGGTTGCTTGTTCCAGGATACTGCCAGGCCAGTGTTCATCAGCATGTGGGGTTTGCTGTGAGTGGGAATGGCAGGGCTATAGTTTGTTTTTATTCTTCCTTCTTGAGACAATCCCTAATCATACTTGTTCAGTATAGAAAATGAGCCGCCCCGCTTCACTGACTTGAAATCCAGAAATATACCGAATGGTCAGACTAGTTTTCACTGAGGAGTTCAAAGAGGAAATCAGCTCCTTATACGGCTGAATGAAAATGGGTAATTACATTTTAAACACATTAGACATTATTCTTGAAATTAGGAACATTCTTTTTTTTTAATGGAGCCACAAAATTCTGTCACCAGGAAGCCTTTCAGTGATTACTGGCAAAATAATATTATAGATGAAGAAATTGTGGAGGTTAAATTATGGGCTCACAGTCAATTGGCTGGTAGTTGATTTTTTATTTCTAAATTGAACTGATGTCTTGAGAAGTATTGATGAAACAAGAGGGCACATGTCATCACAGGACTCTTAAGATTGTTTTATGCTGTCATGCAAATGCCCTGGGAATCTGGTGAAATGAAAGCGCTGTTCTGTCAAACCATCTGGAACAGAATATGGTATAGTTTCTGTTTTTGGTGATCATTTCTGCTTCTCACTTCTTTTGTTAAGTGATTTATGCACATTTATTCAGAGCATAATTATCTTGATTAATATTGAGAAATATATTTATAATCATGATGTTAACAAAGTGCTATATGATCAGCCCTTTAAGTAATTAACCCTCTTGTAATAACATTTCAGAATCTCATTTCAGACTATCAAGTGCCAACTAGTATTTTCAAAATTTTAGTCATCCATATATAATGGATTCATTGGAAATATGTGTGAAAGGGTATTGTAGCTGATACTATAAATTGATGTGAAATTAAACCATATCTTAGTGTTTTGCATAAGTCATATTTTTCTGGTCTTCTGCTTTTTGAATTTAAGTGTTAGATGTACATTACTTAATTACAGAAACAATTTAGAAAAAATGAAGTTACTAAAAATTAGGAAAAAAAAGGCTATTCTGCACACAATTTATTGATTTGACTTTATTCTCACTTAGTAATAAAAATCCTGTCTGGAATTAGTAAATCAAAATAGGGGTTTCCTCTTCTTACCACAGGAAACAAATGTTAAACAAGTTGTATGATGTTTATATATTTAGGATTTGTAATGAGATGAGAGTTGTCAGTTTTTTTCCCAGTGGAATATGGACCAGATCTGCTATTTTGCTGAATAGGCAGAAGCAAATACCTTGTATCTCTTTAAAAGACCTGCTGCTAAGCTTTTGTCACATAGGAAAGACCCATGGTTGAACATGATAGTGATTACTAAAACAGAATTTTTTCCTTTCTTTCCTTCTTTTTTCTTTTCCTCAAGAGACTCAGGTACAAACAAGACTTGGGAAAACTTCAGGTAAGTCCAAATTTCATTTTCTTCACAGGTATCTTTGAGTCTCATCAGTTCGTAAGCCTACAACGGTGGGGTGTAACAATGGTAAGGAAAACAGAAGACTTGGGGAAAATGTTAAAATTAAAATATAGCAAGCTGTTTAATATGGGATTTATTTATTTAACTTTCAAAATATGTTTAAGTTTCTAAAGATTCCCTCTTTATATATAAGTACTAAATTGATGCAAGTAGTTTTTACCCCCATGTCTAAGAAATATCTCCAAATACCAATATATAAGCAGCATGCCCAGCCCTTCATATTCATTATTACATGTATTATCTATCTAAGAAGTTAAGTACTATATTATCCCCATTTAACAAATAGGGAGAGAGAAATTTAAAAGAAGTTAAGTGACTTGGCCAAGATCACATTTTAAGTGGTGGAGTGTGGCTATCTATTTTGGTCTGCTGGATTCCAGAGCTTGGGCTCTTAACTCCTACTGATACTACCAGACTGATAAATGAGGCTCTGGAGAAGCTTCTATGCAGGGAACTCTTCTCGTGTTACAGGCTCTATAGCTGTATCATCTTTCCTATATCTAAGGTTGGAAATAGCATTTGCCAAGATTCTGCAGAGCTTAGAAAGCCTAAGAGGGCAAAGGTGCATGTGATGTGCAGCTTCCGAGATTTCCTGGGCCTGGTTGCTTCCTTCAGAGTTGCAACTTTGGGTGTCATATCAGTTTTTCAAGAAGCTGCCACTTGCACTCTCAATGAAGAGACAAAATGAGGTAGCTCATTTTTTCCAACTTCATGTGCTCTCCTGCATTCCTGATTGTTAGTCATAGTCCCTAGTTGAGCTTATTGGGTAAGGACTATAACAACAGCTCAAACCATTGGGTCATTGGAGTCCCAGAAGGAAAGGAGAAAGTGGACTGGGCTGAAAGAGTATTTGAAAAACATAATGGCTAAAGACCACCTAAATTTGGGAAAAGACATAAACCTAAAGGCTCAAGAAGCTGAGCAAACCCTGAACAGGATAAACTCAGATACTCGTGCCAAGACACATCACAGTCAGCCTGAAAACTGTTAAGGACAGAGAAATAAAATCTTAAAAGCAGCTGGAGATTAACAGTGCAGTGAATGCACTGATTTCTGGCATTAGAGAAATAGGCTGGTGGCCAGCATTTTATCTTCTGCCTTTTTAACTGGACTCAACTGAGCTAACATGTACTGAACAATTAATCAACATCTACAAATTATGCCGGGCACCTGCAGGACATCTGTCAATTTCATTCTTCCTAGAACTGCTCTGCAGTAGGTGTTATCCCTCAGAGACCATCAAGGAGTTCCAGAATTGGAGAGAACCTCAAAAAAAGGAAATAACAAGCACAGAAATTTGTAATTTGGGATTTCTGGATAGGCTTCAGACTTGTGAATTCACTGAAATTAACCTAAAAATGTCAGCATGTATGTGCATTATTCTTGGGAAAGGACCATAGCTTTCATCAGATCCTGAAGGGAGCTGTTGGCCCCAAAAAGGTTAAGAGCCACTAGAAGAGATTCTGTTCAAATTTTCAGGCAAAACCACATAGTCTAACCTAAGTAGGAAAAGAAGCTAAAAATAGAGAAGGTATTCCCTATCATATCTACCAAATTCCTGAATGCCACCTCATGAAAATCCTCTACTTTTAAGGAAGAACAGAAAAATGACAAGTTTTCTAATTCTCAGGCTCTTCTGGAAATACATGTTCATTAAAGAATGTTTGCCTGTAGTCCTATTTTGAACATTTTAAAAATAGTACCTGGAGGTGACTAAATGACTAATGCACTGTTGATATAAAATGTACTTTAGGTTTGCTTTCTTCCAATGTCAATGAGCAAGTTCAAATACATAAGGAAGCACCCGCCTCTCTCCATTAGTACTAATGGATGGGATTATAAGAGGACAAACTATTTGATAATTTGCATTCCTTTTTCCATCTTTCAAAAAAAAAAGGCATGTAAAATCAAGTTCTATTAATTACACTATGGGTAACTGCCAAGTTAGCTGAACAAAAATGTTAGTGCTTTCTCTGGTGAAAAAAATGAAACGGCTATGTTAAAACAGATGCATTCAGTTTCTGTTTTTAAGGCATGGTGGTCCCTCACTCCTAGTATCCTCTACCAAATCCCTCATGCATGCCAGGTCAGCTCACACCTGCAGAAATGACTGTAAACAGGATTTTAGGTTGCTGCTGCCCATTTTCTGATCAAAATTGTAAGGTCCCAGTGTTACCTGGAGAGCTAGAGATTGGATAATGCATTATTTTAGGAAAGAACTTGACTACAAGCTTCTAGTAAGATCCTAAAGTAGTCTGACTTACTCAGACTATTATTCTATGCTGGCTGCATCTACAGAATTAAAACAATCACAGGGGGCCCTTGCTAAACATAGAATTCCAGGCCCCCATCTTGTAATTACTACAACACAACCAGGAGAGGGATCTGGGAATCTGAGTTTTATCAAGTACTTTGGGTGATTCTTGGGCTCACACAAGTTAGAGCAGTTTCTTACACTTGAAAGTACAAATTGTTTTGTTTTCTTGAAACTAATGCAGAAGCTGGTCCAACTGGTCTGGGTGGGGCCTGCAATTCTGCATTCACATTAAATCCCTAGGTGATGTAAGCAGCAAAAAGGGCTAAATCTCCTTTGGCTGGAGTGTAAGTAAGTATAGGCCATTATTTTCTTTCTGTATTCCTGGAGTCTCTATCAGAGGCCTCTCCTGCCTTGATGCCTCCCATTTCTCAAATTTTCACTGATTAACAAGCTAATGTGATCAGTTAAGGTAAGGCATCTTGCCCATCTCCACTTAGCTTATATAAAAGTCCACACAAAGGTAAAAATAGCCTGAAATGAACAGAAATCAACACCACACATAACTTAACAACATATTGGGTTTATATTTAATGTAGTAGTTCTCACTTCTCATCGTGAGATGTTACTCAGTTAATATAAAGTTTTTAACATTAAATCTCTTCTCCATTTCAATGCCAATATAAAGTTTTTTACATTAAATCTTTTCTCCATTTCACTGTTAGATATACTGAATACATTTTTCTAACCTTTTTCCTTCCGAAGAAATAAAACTTTTAATTTTTGACTGTTATCTGATATACAATATTAACTTGGGAGATAACAAAACAAAAATCTAACATAAATATGGTCCTTTCTAAAGTTAAAATATTTCCTCCGTGACTAATTAACTGAACAGTGGTGATTTCCTTCTGGCAAGAGTTTCCTTCTTCCTATTTCATGTGCTTTGAGAATTCCAAAACTACTAAGTATTACTTATGCAAATATCAGCACCTTAAGTCTGTGACCCTTTTTCTAATTGGAAAATATAAATTACAGACTGCATTTTTCAGTGCATTATTTGTTTTCTTGGGAAAAAGATTTCTTTTCCCCATTTAATGTATATCAATTTGTTTCTATTTGTAGGGAAACACCCAAGAATGTGAAAATACCTTATTCACTGTTTCTTGGGAACTTTCAACACCAAAGCTAAGCTTTTAACTTCAACAGCACAAAGGTTTTCAAGGAAAGGTTTGATTCAGGAGGCCCTTCTAAGTCACATCTGTCCATTTCTCTTTCGTGCATATACCCCCAAACAAGCACAAATGCCTGTAATGCTGAGAACCACACCTAACAAGAGAGCGATTGCATCTCCCGCTTCCACTGCTTCAACAACAGGCAGCACCAAAAGTAATGAAGTGAGAATTAAGAACAATTGTGTTGAAACTGACGTCATGATGTTGCGATCTTGACGTGGCTGGATCTTGAGGACTGAAGGTTTCTAAAAACTAAACACGAAAACGAAAAAGATTCGTTAAAAATACCTGCCTTTTCAAATTATAATAATAAATACAACACTTGACAAATAACAGTCCACATAACCTTTTAAATTAAAATTTTAGGTCCATCTTCTCATGCTACAGTGGGAAAAACTTGGGGGAAACAAAACATAAAGATGGTCATTTGAGGCCAATTTTCCCTTCCCTATTATCTCACGATAGTTCCGATTCCCGTGATTTTTCTGCACTTCATAATGCCAACACCGTGGAAATAAAACTGAATAGAACATAATTAAGAACATAGAAAAACGCACAAGGCACTCATTTGGAAACTTAGAATATCCTAGTAAGAAGTACATTTTCTTCGGGTCTCTATCATCCAGGATATGCAGACAAATCTGGAAAAAGTCACACAACATACAACTCTGTGAAGTTGTGGGCAATGAGTAAGACTTACCGAAAAAACGATATATGTATAATTCTAACTTGAAATACGCCCTTCCTGGAGCTCCGGGTGCGGAGACTAAGAAGTTCCACGTGACAGCGCCTATTAGCGGAAGATAGGATTTAAAAATTACTCGTCATCGTCATTACTATTACTATTATTATTTTAAGGAGGCAGCTAGACACAGTGCAGAGCGGGGAAGTTGTACGGCAGAGAGGGGAATGGCTAGTAACTAAGGAAAACAGCTGTTCACGCTGGAACACTAGACTTAAAAGTTGGTCTGTTCGCCCACACAGGAAAACCTAAAAATAAATCGAACCGACAAATTCATCTCAGGACTTGATAGTAAGACCTTAAAAAGAATCCCTCCTTTGGCCTGGCAAAGTGCAAACTTGCTCCCTATATTATATTTAAGCTGGGGCAATCTAAGATCCTTTGGAGACGAGTTCCTACATTACCTTCCAGGAAGCAGCCATTACAGGAATGGCGAGGAGGGCGGGGTCGCTAAACTACATTTCCCACAATCCCCATCGCCGACGACGCCCAGGATCCTCCGGCGCGCGCGCTCCCCTATAAGTGGCTGAGGGAGTGATGGTGTGGCTCTACCGCAGGCGAAGAGGGGCGAGTCCCCGGGGCTTCGTTCACACGGCCGCAGCGTTTACTGGTAAAGTGGCTTAGCGTTATTTGTACAAAAGCTACCTTAAAAAGAATATCAAGAAATAACAGCAAGTATTTTTTACCCTATCCGAGGTTTCAAGACACACAAATAGTTACGTCTTTTTCTTCGACTGAAGAGAAGACCTCACAACGGGAAGAAATCACCTGAGCAGAGCCTGTTCCCAACGCTTTAAACTAGTGGCTGCCAACAATTTTGAAGCAGGCAATCCCTGGCACCATTTTCCAAATGTGCCTTATGACATTTATTAGTTCTTTTTATCCGTGCGGGGGGGGGG